GTGTTTGAAAACAAAGGAAAGCAAAAGAGTTGTTTGGGTAACTTTTAAAAGTTGTATTAACTGAAAAAAAATTTCACTAGGGCTATGAGCTTTTTGTAAGAATTTTTTCCTATTTTAATGGCCCCATTTAAAACCAGTAGATTAAAAAGTAAAGTACTGCATCATCATCTTACAGGATTTACTTTAGAAGGACTGCGCTAAACGAGTCAGCACCACTGGAATTCCAGACCAGAATAAACCAAAAAGTCTTTCTCTACCAGTTTTTAATTTCTGAAGTTCGTGCCTTGGTCATAGCCTGTATAATAACCATGCACTTTTGTTGGACTCCCAATTTTCCTTTTCAAGTTTAAATTAAAAAATAACAGGAAGAGTAAAATCTCTTTCTCTCAGACTGAAATTCAAACTGAAGTACCTTTTTCAACAGTACAATTTTATCCAGTACTGATTACATAAATCAGTTTGGAAGGAGGAAGTGGAATTACACTAACAAGTTCAAAAAAAATTACAGGAAACCAAGTGGGAAAAGGGTTTCCTATGTTATTTCCTTATGCAGAGTGAAGAACAGCACCAATAGGATGTTTTCTAATGTATCATTTTCCAACTCTGTAGGAATGAAACTTGAACTCTAGTTCAAGGTGTTAGTAGAGGCCACCAGGAGATACCTTTCAGTGCCAAAATGTGCACATACACATCTCTCTTCAAAGTAACTGCCAGAAAAATTATTATTTACACCCATTTTTAAGGTAACAACATAATGTTAAATAATATGCTTCAAACTTGCCTTTGTCAAATCCTGAATTATTTGCTTGCATAAGAAATCTGACTTTTATTGGTTTTGAAGACTTTGGGCTCTATTTGGTATTAAATCTGTCAAGAAAAAACCTCACCGAGTTCAGTAGGAGCTACTAAGCAAGAACCAAAATTTCCTACTCACAATAGTGACCTAACCTGTGATATGGAATTAAGAAATAATCTATAAAGGACTTGTCTGTGTGATAAAGTTCCTGTTTTATGTGAAAAAGGCCCTAGACCTGACTATGCTATAGGTTTTTGTCAAAGCACAAATTCTGCTGGTTCGGTAGCTAGATAACCTGAATTGCCTCATTAGTCTTGTTACTTACAACTCAAATCAGCAAAATTCATCTGATAAGTGGTAGAACAAAAACATGCCTACAAAACATGGAAGCTGAGTTTGAAAAACCCAACTTTAGATGATTAAATAGCTAATGTAATGAGGCTAAGATTATTAATACCAGTGGAAAATTATAAGGGTTGCACCATCAAACCTAGTTTTCGTGGTTTCGAAGAGGTTTATTTATTTAATAAGTCAAAGACCATATGTCTGTGAATTTAATATTTTTAAGATATTTAAGATGCCAGATGCCTGACAGTCTTTGTCTAAAAATTTGAGTGAGTAAGTAAGTAGCAAGCCTCTCCAGGTCACTCTACAGAGCCTTCCTACCCTCGAGCAGGTCAAAACTCCCATCCAACTTCATGTTGTATCAAACTGAGTAACAGTGCACTCAATCCCCTTATCCAGGTCATTGATAAAGATATTAAACAGAAGGTACAGTGTCACTGAATAAGAAATACCAGGATAGTCTGCTGAGTGGCATCTTCAATGCAGCCGTGAAGAAAAACATGAGACAAAACCACAGAAATATGATTCTTGTGCCCTGAAGCCTTAAGAGTAGAGGACTCATGGAAATCTGACCCTAAACTGTGCAAAAGTGTGGCTTGGAAGAGCCTGAAATCAACATGAATCTTCTTTGAAAGAGTCTGAAATGCCAGTGAGCATGGAAATGACAAAATAGGCCAGGTCTGGCATTAATCAGTTTTCATCAGAGAGAGGGGCATGATAGAACAATCTTACTCCACTAGCATCTGTTTGGGAGCTGCCTGGATTGTCCATATATCTTTATAATTTTTATGACATTTTGGTTATAAAGCACTATTTTCACACCAGAAAAGAATTATGTCCGTACATCTAGAGACAGAGATGCCATAAATCCCACACTGCAGCCTGCAGCATAAAAGACCAACAGACATAAGAAAGAAGGAAAGAAAGCCCATCAAGGCACCTCCATAGCAGCAAGGGTTGATACAGAAATTTGAACATCAATGATTCTTCCATAACAAGGAGAAAAACTACAGGAGCAATTGTGAAATGGTCAGTAAAGACCAAGCAATAATTTCAGGAGGGTGTTGCTTAGTGTACAAGTGAAGCAAGAAACAGTATCAGTGATGAGGAAGAGCAGAGGCCTGGTCTTAAGATTGAGAGTATAGCAGTAAGGGGGAAGAGCAGGAGGTGGCCAACAGCCACGAGATGATTGTTGCAGTCAAGGCTATTGCCTAGATACCCACCAGTGATTCATTATTTTTCCAAGTCACAATTTTATTATGTTTCTCCACCCCATCACCCCATAAATTCTATCTGGATTTATTGGCTGCCAATACAACTTATTTTCTCGTTTTTCTGGTTACCGGTTTGGCCCAGTGTTTCTTAAGCATTCAGTAACAGGCTTCAGAAGCTGAATATGGCCCTTTTCTGCCCAAAGGCATGTGGCACAAGGGTTGCAAAACCACCTGTCTTGGAAAATATTTTGAAAGTGCAAAGTTAAAAGTCATTACTGCAGTCAAACTGTTGGAATCTGAAGTCTCCGAGGACAGTAAATACTGTGAGAATGGGGGATACTAAAAAAAAAATTAATAAAATTAGACTTTGATTCTTTGAGCTTTTTCTGCCCCTTCCCTCCAAAGGGAAACAAAGATGGCAAGAAAAGATTCTCTCATCCAGAAGAAATGACCTTAAAATACTGTAAGAAATTATTTGTTTAAATACCTGCTGTGCTTCACTAAAAAGTCTTTGATAAACTGGTATTATTGTTTATTCTGTTATTGCTGATGAAAGCTATTTGATTATAGCTGTAAAAAATCTCCATAAAATCATAAATAAAAAACACATGTTGTGGCAAAGGCCTTTAGAAATAAAAAACATTTTAAACATACTTTGAAGACAGCCTAATTCCATTGTTTTCTTTCAAGCTGAAAGGGGAAGTACTGTATTGTTCCAAGACTCAAGAGTCACAGATATATTATTTACCAGTAATTAGAGTTCTTGGTATTCCATATTTCTACCTATTCATGGAGCAGAGGGACCATACCCTCTAGGACATAAGTAAAAGCTATTATCCCTGGTTTTCCATTAACATTGCACTCAGGAACAATATTATTCACACACATTTTAGTGATTCAGATTATTCTGGTTTGTATTACATAAAGCATCTAGGAGAGGTTGCACAGTGCAAGGTGGTGTCAAGAGATGGAAAGTGACTTTCGACAGCTGAAAAATATCTTTTGAGTGCAAGTGAAGTGGTCAGATTCACAAGTCAATATACAAAGCACAGCAACCACTGTTTGCTTTTCCTTGGAAGGAATCACAAATGTGACTATTTAGTTAAAATCCCACAGTCCCTCACAACCAACATGGTGAATTTGGTTGAACAACTTAAAAACACACTTTTCTTTGTGTGCCGTAACCACTGAATTGTGACCTGACCCAAACTCAGTCCTCAGAGAGCATTCCCAACAAGCCCTAAGGAAAACTCACCCTCTTATTCTAGGTCAGACATTCCCATAAATGAAGCTGGCAAGTACATTCATATTAACATGCACTTAATCAACCAGTTAATGATCCACATTAAGTATGATCCAGGATAAAATATCTTCCCTATATTCAAAGAGAATATGACTCCTACATACTCTGCAGTAAGCCAACCATCAGCATATTCTGTATTAGATTCTTGTAACCCACCTGAAATTATGTGCAAGTGTTCTCTCCATGGACTCACAGAAGCAGGGCTACTGTTTGAAGATCTCTAATGATTATAGCTTGTAGGCATGTAATATACATCCAACAAAACATAGACTAAATATAGGAGACCCTCATTAAAAATTATATACTCACCATATTTATCTTTTATTGTATGCCCTTTACTCCCTATTCATTAGAGAATGGAAACGACTGCAAAATAATACCTGATAGCCAAACATCTTGTTTTGGCACTAGTACTAACTAATCAGATACTTGTGTCACTTGCTTTGGAATACAAAATTAAAATCTTCTAAAGTATTAAGAGGAAGGAAAGCAGGATGCCAGTTTCCATTCCACAGAATTGAATGACTTTATGGTATTGAATCTCATGATAGAATGTATTTTTAATTCAACAGTTCAGCAATTATTTGCTGGAGGCTACTATTTAATTTACATTTACATATATCTCAGAGCTGTCTTTAAAACATAATGTTTATACCATGAATATTATCCTCTCCAAAACAACTATACATATGTAGTCTTAATCACATAGGAATTTCCAAGGACCTTAGTGTATAAGAGGCATTATTACATCATGTGTTTGAAATGCAGATGTATCTGGGATGGACCGCTGTGCTCTAGCTGGTTCAGTAGTTCACAGCAGTATTAATTCTTCCTTCAGATAAATGGATCCAATTCTCAGTAACAGTATGGCTCCTTTATGCTGCTTTGCCAATATAAAGTAGTCCTAAGGGGGATAAAAATACTCAGAAGGAATAACTTTTGTGCACACGGTGTGTGTGCAGAGCACAGAATTGAGGAAATAGGATAAACTTAAATATCCTAGAATATTCTCAACTCAGATCAGAATCCAGGAAAGTTCATGTTGACATCCTCAAAATATTGGCCAAGTAAAATAAACCTAAAAGTGAAAAAGAACTGTGAACTGACCTACAGGAGTTCACCGGCAATGTCGAGGACATAAAGGTGCGAGGTGCAATTGCCCAAATGGAGACTGCCCATAACTGTCAAAACTGCCAGTTTTGCTCTTGCAAGAAGCACTCACAAGTGTGATTCTAGAAAGACTCACACTAAGACTGACCAAAAGTTGCCACAAATAATCAGCCCGAATATATCATCAAACTGAATAAATTATAGCCAGAAAAAACAGCATTTTTTCACTCACTTCTAGTAGAAGTCCACCTTCTTGTACAGCAGTCTTGTTAGATATATTGTCTTCTTTTATTGTTTGGCCAACTTGCTTCTTAAAGTGCTTTTCTTGAATGGCTGTTGGAAAGAGTTATTATCAATTTAGAAATCATAGTGATTAGGGCCACTAGACTAAAATTCTTATTTAGGCACTTAACATGCATTGATTTAATTAGGAGTTACTGTCTTTGTGGTCTGGATCTCAGTTACTGACAACTTTCTTTTGCTGTGTGAGAGAGATACATATTTTGCAGTCCAGATGCTTTTTGTATGAAATATCTATCACATTTTTTATTGAACATATTTTTTCCATTAGTCTACTCTACATAAAGCAACAACCAAAACCCACAGGAAAGAAACAAAAGAAAGTTAGCAAGTTGTTTTGTTTATAAAAATATGTATTATGACAATATAGAAAAATGTCTATATAGCTCAAAAGACAAGGAACTGAAATAACTTTCTTATTTTCAATGCTGACCTTCTTGACATCAGTTGGTTTTCAGTCTTGCTTTACTCTACTCACTTCTACAAGTTCCAGCCTAACTGTAAGATTCAAGAGAATGTTCTTAAACTGTTTCATTTTTACACAGAGGTTTAAAGTTTGTTTTTAGCAGGTCATTTATGCCACGAAATTCATAAAAAGCTCTCACTACAGATTAAAATTCCATATGTTTTTCCTAATAATCATGAAAGCTTTCACGGGATACTAAACTAGTGAATTCTCTTGCTACACATTGCTTGATCTAATATATATTTGAATACTCCAAGTCTTCCTATCTAGATAACCTACAGAAAAATCCCTGAAATACAATCTCATTTCTGGAGATAATGAAAGAATTTCTGAGAAGGCTGACATCACTTAATAATTTGTCTTCTGCATCATCTAAGGAGTATGACAGGAACCTCTCTTTATCATTTGGTCAGTAAAAATTAAATCAGCTTCACTGTCCCACTCCAGAGTTGGGTCATACAAATACCCTGGTAACAAACAGAGATTCAGTTTTCTATTTGTTTTCCTTTTCACAAAGAGAATGAGAGGAGAGCATACTGGTGAGATTATCTGGGACATTTGATTTACATTTTCCCTTCCAGCTAAAGGGAAGCTGGAATAGCCACAGCCAGAGACGCTTAATAAACAAAAAAAAAAAAAAAGGTTTGGGATGGGAAGAAATAGTTTATACCAAATCAGAATAAGAAAAGGAGGCAGATAGCAAGCCTCTAATGCCCCTGAGCCTGTGCAAAAGCCCATTATCAATTTAACAGCCTAGTGAGGGATTGTTGCAAGATACATCAGCATTTTACAACAGATGATGGCAATGCAAAGCAACACTGACTGAATATTCATGATGTTCTTTAGCTTACATTGTAAATATTTGCTGAAAGTGATGTCAGTCATTACCCCAAGGTAATCATCTTGAACGTATAATTAGATGTAACAAATCCCTCCCCTGGGCATGGGAAAACACATAAGGAAAATCCCAAGCTGCCTAAAACAGACCCCTACCCATGTTTTCCAGCCAAAATAATTTTGTGATTTCAGACTTGTAAGCTAGGCTGCCGTGAACAGCATATACAGATTCTTAAATCTATATTTTCATTTGGTATACCTTTTAAACTAATTGGAAATGGTTGCTTTTTTTCTCCCCCTGATCAGCCAAGCTTTCTGCTACACCTGTCTATAAGAACACTCAAAGAATCATAGTCTTATTTAGGTTAGAAAAGACCCTTAATGTCATCAAGTCCAACCATCAACTCAGCACTGCCAAGTCCACCACTAAACCATGTCCCTAAGTGCTACATCCACACATCTTTTAAATACCTTGTGACAACGATTTTTAAAAGCCCAACCCCTATTCCAATGGCCTCTTCCAGAGTTTCCCTCCTGAGAAAAGATGTTTTAGTAATTAATGACATGGTGATTTGAGGTCTTTGTGCAGGTTAAAGGATGAACAGGCAGGGCTGAGAGGAAACGAAGGTTTATTTCTTTGATGCACTCTTTTGGCGTTGTGAAAATTCCACCCGTTTGCACTGCATCGTTAGTGGAAACTATTATCTTACCCAGCTGAGCAGGCCAGAGCTCCCTGCCTGTTTGTTAGCCTTCAGGCTCATACAAACACAGCAGCAGAACACAAGAGATGTTTGTTCTGAAGCTTGTCTGGCTACTATAAATTCCATCTCCAAATGGAAAGTATTTTAATGTTATTTTGCCAGTTAGAGTTACCCATATGTTAGGCCACACACATCCGTTTCATAACATGCCCTACTCACTGGCCTGGACTGCAAGGAGACCCACTGCACCATCAAAGACAAATAACACCCTTTGCGACAAGAAGTGAATGTTCCTAGGGAGACGGAAAAGTTTGCTCCTTGCACCTGAGGCAACAGAGCTGTCACTCACTGCTCACTCTTATTCTGCCTCCTTGTGCTGGAAATGCTTGATTAATTCACCCATGGCTGGGCTGATACTGCAGTGATAGCTCAGAAGAGATACTGCTGCTGGTGATAGCCTGTCACCTGGAGAAAGCAGGGCGAGACGGGCAGAAAACCACGCAGATCCCCGAAACAAGGAGGAGGAAGAAAAGCAAGACGTGACAGGCCAACGAGGGAAAGTTACAAGATGTTATCTGACTAGGCAGAAAAACAGCAAAAACAGAGCAGTCTAACAATACCCCTGTCACCACCAAGAATCAAGAGAGAGAGCTGAAGGACAGTAAATATTGCTTATGACGAGTATCTTGATAGCAAAGGCCCTGATGCCAAGATAGCCATGATCAAGATTAGCCATCGCATAAAATTCTCTCTCTCTGGATCAACACTGAAGCCTAGGATGATGAAAACAAATGAAAGATTGGAGCATGCAGGAATACTGTCTCTGGTAGGCAGGGAGGAGCAAATTGCAGAAAACTTAAAATTAACAAACAACAAAGGATGACTCAGTGACCTGAGGGGAACACAGGCTGTTGGAGTTCCCATATATCAATAATGGGGCAAGAAAAAAAGCTGATATTGCAGGCAGTCTAATGAATGCTGCTGGCTGTTAAAAAAATTGAGAGATTGAGCTTTATGGAGCCTTGGACTGCTTTCTGTGGGAGAAGCAACTCTTTAAACAAGATGGTCAGCAATTCAGTGTAGAGTGCTCCCCTACTAGGTTCAAAACTGGCAAACTGAGGAGATGGGAAGTGGTACCGTCAGAGACCTTTTTCTGAGCACAACTTATCGAGCCTGCACTTCCAGAAGATGAAATAAAACAGAAGATGGAGCTGTTCTGCCAAAGAAGATGAATGAGCATATTGATACCATAGAGTGATAAATACCTGATATACATGTACATGGCCGACAGTTTTGAAAGCTCATGCGATCTAGTGAACGTGGCGCAATCCCATGCAACATTAAAAGCCAACGAGTTTGGAAATGCTGGGTCCTACAGAAGGACAACACTGTGGAAATATACAGGGAGGGGGGGAAGGGAACTAGGAAGAGGAGGAAGAAAAAAATTAAGAAAAATGGTCAATGTGATTTCCTGGAGGAAAGGTCAAAGATCTGAGGACATTGTTTCAATTTCTGATCTGAAACATTGAAAGGAATGGAAAGTAAAAAAATAATGTAGAGTTAGAACTGACAGTTAATTAATGGAGAAAAAAAAGTCCACAAAGGAGATGGTAAGTTTGTTTGAAGGAGCATGGGGCTGTCTCAGACAGTGCTGCTGAGTCTTTCACAGCTGCAGTGTCTCTGCCCAGAACAATGTAAAAACTTGAGATCTCTTTTGAGCCTTCAGTTCTGATACAAGAATTGCTATCTGCATTTGCAAACTCCTTGGCTTGAAAACCAAATCTGGAATATTGTAACGAAGAGAAAAGCTGCCTAACACAGTCTACAGAAGCATTATGAAACCAGACATTCCCTTTCCCTCAGAAATAACAGAACACTTATTCATTGCAGAATGCTCTTTAGTTCAAAGGGATGGAGATTTCAGAACACTCATAAAACCATACTTTTTAAACCCATGGGATTACATTCTCCAGAGTGTTTCTATACCTCATCCCACACAAGCATGACCTTCATTCTTCAGAAAGTAATTAGTGAATTTACCTACCAATTTAAGCTCTGAAAAAAACTAATGTGTGGGCAAACTGTACCCCAGCCACCTTAGGTGCCTTGCACTACTCAGGCTTCTTGCACCAAGCAAAAGCACAGGTGAGAAATGAGCAGTGAAGGGATGCTGCTTCTGAACAGAATGCCTTCCCCGGGTTGATTTTGGGTGTAAGAGGGGGACCGTACTCAGTGTGATGCAGGAGAATTAGTTTCAAGCCTTTCTATAAGGAGTACCTGTGAGACCAGGGAATAAATTATTTCTTAAAATGGGCAGATAAAAATACCCAAATTCAGCTTGCAGGTTCAGAGATACTGCTTTATGAATGCAAGTCTTACTTTTGGTAACTGTTACTTGAAAGGAAGTGAGAACAAGGTCTTTCTTCCTGGATCTTCTAGCTGCAGGAAGAATCAGCTATGCATGTTACTCTGAATACTAAGATAACAAAACAAATTGACTAGGAAACAGAATTGTTATGAACAATTCTGCTTAACAAACCTAGAGCCATGAACCGAAATGGTCTGTTTCCTCTGGCTGTGTTACAGAGAACACCAAGCGACAATTAGGATGGAGGTCATTAGATGAACACTGAAATTAAACAATATACAGCATAAGGAACAGTTATTTTACACTGATAAACAGTATGAAGGGGACTTTTGCACTTTGAAATGCCACAACATACAGATTGTGCAAATGCTTAGGGAAAGAAATCAGCACCAAAATGCACCCTCTGAATAAAAGCTGTATGGTTCTCAGTCCTGTTGTGGAGGCTACCAGAACACCAGATGAAATTATACTAACAGCAATGCAAAGTTTTTCTTCCCAACTTAGCGGTTTTCTCAGTCTGCTTCTTCTTAAGAGATGCTTTGAAATCTGACTTCCCTTTGAAGTTTCTCGAGTACAGCATGACATTTATTTAAGGTACAAACCAAACTGTTTGCTTTCCAGATCCCGTCCCCTCTTTCAGAACCGTTTATTCCCCTTTCCC